CTTGGCCAAAACTTTCAGTGATTGAAGCAAGATTAATATTTTTTTAATAATTGGCTAATTGATTTGAGTATTAGTCAACTTTTAGTCAGTATGTTTCATGTTCATATTCTACTCCAACATAGCCAATTCTCTCCTCTCCTCTTTATGGTTGTGAGACATAGTCATTGGAAGTGCCTACCACAGAGGGTTCGAACCCAGGACCTTCTGGTTACAAGGTGAGCTCGTAGACCATTCAGACACTGGGAACCGATCCAATGGCCGCCCCATGAATTCTAACTTCTGCCAATTCACGACATAGCACAACCACTTCTCAATGTCTTCTTCACTGGGTTACTGCCTCAACTTCAACCTCCTGCACCCTACTGGTCCCGACTTCCCACTAGAACCTCAGGTTAACTGCCTGAATAGGGCCAGTCGCTGGTTCTGTAACTGATGTCAGCTCATGATGAATTCCTCCAACCAGGTGCCTTTTTATCGTCAACCCATACACAACAAGTGTGATTCATAGAGCTGGGTACATGAAAGATCTGTTTTCGGTGATTATGTTTACCCCACTTTCTCAGATTAAATTAGGTTAGTGGTAAACAACTACTTATCTCAATCAAGCATTAATATGTAGTTTCATGCAGTTAGGCTGGCTTTCTTAACTACTATTTATGGGATCAAACAGATCACATACAGTGATCTAAGTGATTTGGTCTCCAAGGGAAACCATGGTTAAATTTCAACTCTAGCTGTGTTAATTATACATTAATTTGCAAATTATGAATTTGATTCACTTTATTACTAGTTCACTCAGTTAGCTGGCTGGTTACCCAGAAAGAAACTGGGTGGTTTGAACCGACTCATCACTCTCTGTGAACTGAGTCAAACTGGGCACGCACCTGATGAGTTCGGCCCGAAAACGAGCGGAATGACACTCGGTGTTCAGAGCGTTTTGATCTAGCTAGCTGGCAGGCGCTATCGTTTAGTGTGAGTAGTATAAGACTACTCATCCCGATCGATAAGTAGCCAATAGATTCTTTAAATAGGTAGGTCACTATTTACTTGTAATGTTTCCCTTATTTGTTTGATTTTATCATTTAGATCTAACTCACTAGTTAGCCTGTTGGCTCTCTATAATATATAGGTATGAATAACTACTACCTACCAGATTTTATTTAAAAATGCATGAAAGCCCATAAGAAAAACAAAAGTGCTAATGAAAATAATGCAGATGAAAAGGAATTCCAAGCTTTGATTTTATAATTATTATTCCCTTGGGTTCCTAATGGAACATAGGGCCTTAACAACACATCTCCACTTTCTTCTATTCTCTGAGGTCATCTTCAGTGGAGTCCACGATCGCCCGTAATCCCTCACCTCCTCCTCCTCCTCACCACACCTTCTCCTCCATGTCACCCTCGCACTGACGACCCACTCGTCATTTCCCATCGGGATGTCAATTGAGCGATGGCCAGCACTGCGCGCGATGTCATTGGACGGCACCCTAAACTTATGCCAAATCCATCTCCACTTCCTTCTACATATTTGTTGAACAATCGGCACTTGGTTGGTTTGTTGCTAGCCAGGAAGAGTTTCTTGTTGCTAATTCTTTCTGGCCAACCAACCGGCCATTTGATCTTCAGTATGGAGCCAGCTAGCGAAGGGGGCAGATGTTGATAAAAGTCTGCTGTGGCCTGTTGAAAATGGTTTCCGTGACTTGTGCGCAGTGAAAGTTTCTGACCTGTATAGAAGAACTGACTGACTGACTGACTTGATATTTGTACTGAACAGAATCCGAATGTTGTTGTTTATGCTGGCTGGCTGAGTGAGTGCATAATATTTGCGAACTGGTTTCAGGTTGGTTGATGAAGGTGCATCATGCCTTTCGGATTCTGGCTGGTGTGGTTGTGTTCTCTGAGCTAGATGGTTTGGTTGCGAAGCTTTCATTGCTCTACTGAGCAACATCTTCAGCGCATACTTCGATGTGAAGTGAGCTTTGGAATTCTCTATGAGTTTATTAGTCATCTCTTCCAGTAACCCTGAACGTGATTGGTTGTTTTCGTGTGACATTTCATCCCCTAGTTTGCTTGTCTCGGTGCTGGCTGCTTCTTTCGTCTGAATGTCGTTAGTCATTCCTTCTGCTAACCTTCTGCTAACCCTGGCTGGCTGGCTTTGACATCTTCATTCGTGCTGTCCGACTGCCTGTGGCTGAAACGATGCTGGCTCTCTGAATAAGTGAAGGAAGTAACCTCTGTTAAATCTCTCCCTTTGATGGTGATTGGTACTGGTTGTTGTTGTTGCTGTTGGTTGGTTCCTTCCATTTCTGCTGATTGTTGTCTTCTGTTGTTATTGCTGTTGGTGGTGTTGGCCAGGAATCTTCATCGCCTTCGTCTTCTCTATGTTCACCTGGAGTCCTGTCTTCGCTGCGTGCCAGCCTCTTCAGGTAGTTTGTTGGTTTTCGTCTGTAAGTCTTCGACTTTTGTGTGACATTAAACATAAATCATCAACGCACGAAATATAGATCTTCTAGAGTCTTTTTATGGGTCACCCGACCGATAACTGCTACCTTGCCGTGGTGGTCGGACTTGAATGCCGCAGTGACCCAACAAGCTAAACTGGCTAGGACTCATGTCCCTGCAGGTCCTACCATGTCAGGAAGGTTGTTTGGATAGCGGTTAGACTAAAAGCAGTTACCATAGGGTACATGGGCTCCAGAATTCAATTGGATCAAATGACGTATGAACCCATATGGGTCACCGGCAACCATGGGAATGCAGCTCCTGACGCTGCTCCGCTGCCTTGCGGATTAGACTCCAAGTCAAAGGCTCGGGGGTGGTGGTCCCTTAGGAAAACCACCTGCTTCGGTGTCGGCGCCCGGGCAGTATCTCAGCCCTCACACAATATTGTGTGGCGCATCTTTCTTGGTGCCATATTGCATCAAGTTTTTCTGCGTTTAAATAGATAAAAATAAATAAATTTTATGGGTCAGTCTAGAGTATTCCTGTCTTCTCACTCATTTAGATTACTGGCACATAAAAATGTAGCTAGAGCCAGGTTGATTAATGCTTCTAAGTGAAATAATATAGAAAAGAACACAGCTCAGCTATTGCAGTGCATTCATTTGCATTTAATCACACAATAGGACAGGACAGGGTGAAAGTAGTATAGTTAGATAGAGAAAAAGAGAGCGAGAGAGACGTTAGCGACTAAATTTTTTAGTCAACACCTAATGACTCAACAACTCTCCCCAATATGTGGAAAATTTCAATAAAAGCCAGGATAAAGTGAAACTACTTATAAAGCAACTTATCAAGTTGTGTGATTGCATTTATATGATTATGAGCAATAAATTGTGTTTTTTTAAAGAAGAGTCATCCAGTTAGTTATTCAATACACTACATCACTCTGTCTATGCAAATATCAAATAAAAAATTATCTAATATGGAATTTTGAGGTGTATTGTTGTAACTTGAAGTCAATTGGTGGGTTGTGACTATCAGTGGGATCCAGGATGTGCATTTCGTCCTATTTGGGACTCATCAACTAGATGTGCCAGTACTCCCCAGCGAATGATGATGTTCTCACCGAGGCTCGAATACAGTGTCCATAGTTTCAAAAGCCAAAGCATTATCCACTATTAATATGATCGTGGCACAAGAGGTGGCTGTCGTGGCCCAATTGGTCTAGTGGATAACGCTTTGGCTAGCGTTTGAGACTATGAACACTGTGTTCGAGCCTTGGTGGGATCACGATTACTCACCGGGGAGAATGGTGGTACATCCGGTTGGCGAGTCCCAAATAGGACGAAATTCGCGTTATCCTGGATTCCACTTCTAGTCACCATCCACCAATTGACTTCAAGTTATTTCATACATTTGTTTCCCTTAATGAATTTGAACAAAGCAACAACTGCAGTTTTAGCAGAATAAAATGGCACCATATTTTATTTCGTCGCCTTCTCTTCAGCTGCTTACAGGGCAAAAACATTATTAAATATATCTACAAAAACAATTTTACATACTTGCACAGAGCTCGTTTTAAACAAAAATCAATCGATCAATATACGCATATACTAATAATATATACATATACATATGTAATATTGAACACAATTCGGAGCAATAATAATCATACAAAATGAAAACTTTTCAGTATCTCGCATTAGGATGAAAAATATCCAGTTACCAGGGCAAAGAAAGACTGATAACTGCTTCTTTCTGAACGCACAAATCAGGTTTTAGGCGCTTGATGGGAAAGGCTTCAGCAAACTTAAGGAGCATTGAACTCTTTTGCTTATTGATAATTTTGAACGACTTTTCGACGTCCACCTCATGACCCGTGTCAAGGAGATGCCTGGCGATGGCACTGCTTAAAGCATTTGTTCCCTTTAGACGTAAGCTTTTTGGTACATGTTCAGAAAATCGTAGATATGCTCTTCTTTCTGTTCTTCCAATGTAACTGCTCCCGCAGATACATGTAAATTTGTATATACAGTTGGAGTTGTTAACATGAGAAGGATATTTATCGATTTTTGATTGCATCAAAAGAGAGCAAGCTGTTCGATAGACGAGAACGAGCTTAGCTGCAGGATAGGCTATGGCTAGTGATGTACTCAGTCTTCTGTATATCATCGCTGCAATGTTTTCGCCTTTATAATCAAGCTGAAAGTAGATTGGCTTTTTTTCCTACTGTGATTTGTTTTACATTTGCGACTGCAGATCTTCCATACTTGTTGATGAACCTTTGAGGGTACCCATTGCTCTTCAATATCTTTTCAAGAAACTCAAATTCTTCCTCTAGTTTCTCTGTAGAGCATATTCTTCTCGCTCTATAGTTACATGACCAGATATCGTCGTCGAAGCATCTGCACAATAAGCCGACATATCAGTTTGTGACCGAGCACTTTGATCCAATCAATCGACAGGAAAATCCAAATTGAATTAAATGTACTGTTGTAAATTTAATTTCTTTCTAATACAACCATCTCTCTGTTTGTTTGTCTTTTTGTATTTTAGCTATGCAAAGAAATATTCAATCAACCGTATATGATATTTTCATTGCTTGTCCCATTGGTACATCGTAATGATACACTGGGTGATTCAGCTAGAGATTCATTTCTGTTAATATTTGCTATTTCTAAAAAAGACGATCAACTTGGTCAATATTTAGCCTATGAATCTGATATATGCCCGGTAAGTTGGTTTCTGTTTTACTCTACTCTACTTTACTTTACTTTACTTACTTATTTTGCGTCCAGGGTAAATCATAAGACGACTTCAGCAGGGTGTCGTCATTTCACTCTGTTCTCTGTAGTTTTTTTTATAGCTAGCTGCCTCTCAGATCCTTCATAAGCTTTCATTACCTCTTCTTCCTCCTCATCTTGTTGATATAAGATATGAAATGACCAAGAGACGTCAGATGAAAGAACTATTCCAGGGTATTTAATGCTTGACTTAGTTTCTATTTCAATGCCTTTCATGCTAGAGGCATTATTTGAACGAACCAGCTAGTGTAGATCGCGTTTATGCTTGAAGGTGTAGTTAATTGTGTGATATTTGGAAGGATTTAACATAGGACTATTTGACTCAGATCACTGACTAATGTCGGACAAAAAGCTGTTTAGTTTGGAACAGTCAAATCGGGAATTACCTGGTGACGGCACAGTCAAACAGTTATCAGCATATTTAACAAAGTTGATTTTGTTCGTAAAAGGCACCCATCGGAGTCCGAACTAATGACCTCTCGGTTACAAGGTGATCCCATAGACCGTTCAACTATTGGGACCCGACAGTGGGAGTTGTACCACATTGGTCTAGGCACTCAGCTTCTAGTCGTCGGGTTGCAAGTTCGAACACCTCTCCTCCTCCACCTACTGAAGTTTGGGCATTCAGGTAGTAGTCACACACACTCCGCGTTTACTCAGGCCTAAGCAGTTGATTATAATCCAAGCTTAAAGATATTCAATAAGTGTGGTTCCATAACCTTCCTGTTACAGAGTGATTGATTTGTCTACTAAACTGCATAAATCGATGAAATCTTCCAAAATTACGATTATTTAACGGTCTAATGAACTATGAAACTAGCAGCAAGAACTGAATTCATCCACTGTTCATTTTCCCCCACCCCTCCCTACATTATTATGCATTTTAATTAGTAATATTTAAAAAATTTGTTCATTTAGAGTTCACTTTGAAAACATCAATGATCATTGAAATTTGATGCTTTGTTTTAAGTCTTTTTTTGTATCAAATATGACTTAACCAATCAAAATTGAAAACATGAATTGAATAGGTTAAAATCGATACTACCTTGAAATCGATTTGTCTGTCTCACTTCACAGTGTCCCAATGGAATAGTAATTGTCATTATTTTCAAGATTAGGTTTGATCAGGAAGTGACTTCAATTGAAAAACACCTGAAGCTGGTGTTGTAAGAAGTCGTCACCAGTGAGGTCCATCAAGTTGGTTGTAAGAGCAAGTACTTGACGATGATATTGGCTAGCGGCAGAAGTTAGAATTCATGGACCAGTCATCATTGAATTCTATTCGAGTGGCTGAGAATGGTCAACGGGCTAGTAATGTAGGTCGAAGGCCCTTATTTCGATTCCTGGCAGTGGGGTCATGCGTGCGTACTGATGAAGAGTCCAAAACTGGAACGAAACAGGTCACTAGCTCTCCCTGGTTGGTTTTCAATGGTTCTCTCACTAAAGTCAATTTGTGGTCATACTTGAAGTTATCAATATTACTAACTACCGTTTCATAGTCACTAGTTCTTCTTTGCATTGATATTTTTTATCAAAGCAATAGACAGCAAATGTGCAAAGATTATATGAGCTCATTTTTCATCTTTATTTCGCTGATACCTTTAAACGGATTCCATCCCGTAAATAGCACTAAAGCACATATAAATTGCTAACAAAAGAGGTTTGAACACCTTTTTATCATATTGACAACAAATTTCCGATGTAAAATAAAGTTAAATGATGAAGCTGTTGGTTCCTGTGACCGTTGCAAAATTGATGATAATGAGGATATAGAAATGAAGTCTGACGTTAAGTATCTTGGATTAATTCTTTCTACTGGCCTATCCTGGTCTTCCCATGTCTTAGCGATTTCTAAAAGAATATTTCGTCTAAATTTTTATATTCAGAAGTTAAGGCACTCAGGTATACCTCAACCCCTTCCTCTTACAGTTTGTCAACTCGTGCATCTTACCTATTCTTCTTCACTGTTCACCCTTATTCTTTCCTGGATTGCTTAAAAACGACTATATCATACTTCGTAGAACTCTGAAGACTGTCAGTAGGGCGAGTGGTGGCATCTCATTGGGCCATATCGTTGACATCGTCATTGATAGGCACTTGATTTCATGCAATAAATTTGCTAAAGGAATTTTGTCAGACTGTGAGCATCCACTGCAGCACCTGCAGCTTTCACCTTGTGTCTCCTCAGTCAAAACAAGAAGTCTTTTCAGAAGACTTTATGCACGTACGTTTAAGTATAAAAATTCCACTATACCATATTTGGCACGTATTTTATGTGATGAAAATAGGGTCAGGCATGAACTAACTAACCTTCTTTGCACTATTAAATAAACCATTTCCTCCACCCTTACAACATCAAGCTTTATAGTTAGTGTTCTTATATTTATATTTTGAGTAAATCATGCAATATTGTGACAAATGCTGAGAATTCCATTCTGTATTATAAGTACTGTTTTTCGAATAAAGTAGGTTATTATTATTATTATTATTAAGTTATTGGCATGATACACAAGTTCGGCGGTAGCATGATACTATGTACTACTGATTGATTTATGTGAGTAGTTGGACGCTACTCACACCAACCAGTTGTGTGTTTACTAGCCAGACAGACCGGACGTCTGTTACTGTGGTTTTGGAGCCGAGCTGTAATCACTGGTGTATCCTGGTTTTCACTCAGGTGAGAAAGACAAAGAGATGAGTTAGTTCAAACCACCTAGAGATCCTGGCTATCTACTTAGGTGAACTAGTAACACAATGAGTCAAATCAAAAATTCGTCACTTGCAATTTGCACAGTTCTACGAAGTGCGATGTCACCATAGTTATTATTGGGATCATAAAATATGTGATCGTTTGATAACATAAGTTGAAATCAAGAAAGAAAACATAAAAAACATGACTTTATGTCATACTGATGCAGTGATTTGAGTTCGGCCTGAATAAACAAACGAAGTAGTACTCTGGTTTTTAGGTCACTTCGATGTGGCTGGGGAGCGCCACTGGTTAGTGTGAGTCGCATCCAACTACTCATACAAGTCAATCAGTAGTATGTTAGCATAGCGTTTATATGTTCGCTTTCTTCATTTCCATTTATAGTATCAATTAGTATTAGTATTATTCCCTTGGTTCCGAGTGGAACGTAGGGCTTAAAAAACACATCACTTTGTTCTGTTTATACCGTCCTCTTCATGGGTCTATGGTCCTATCTTCATTCCTCCTCCTCGCAGCACGATCTCCTCCGTGTCACCCATGCATTGACGACCCACTCATCGCTTGCCATCAGGGTTCCAGTCGAGCGATGGCCTGCATTGCGTGTGATGTCATTTGACGGCCTCCTCAATGTATGCCTGATCAATAATCCATCTCCATTTTCTCCTACATATTTGTTGAGCAATTGGCTCTTGCTCGGTTGGTTTGTTCCTAGCCAGAGTTTCTTGTTGCTAATTCTCTCTGGCCAGCCAGCCGACCGGCCATTTGATCTTCAGTATGGAGCCAGCCAGCGAAGGGGGCAGTTGTTGATAAAAGTCTGTTGTGGCCTGTTGGAAATGCTTTTCGTGACGTGTGCTCAGTGCAAGTTTCTGACCCGTACAGAAGAAGTGACCGACTGACTTCACGTTTACGTTGAGCAGAATCCGAATGTTGTTGTTTATGCTGAGACTGAGTGACAGCTGAAGATTTGCAAACTGGTTTGAGGTTGATGAAGGTGTGTCTAGTTTTTCCGATTCTGACTGGCTGACTTTGACATCTTCATTCGTGCTGCCCAACTGCCTGTGGTTGAAACTGTGCCTCCTGTGAAGGAAGTGATCTCTATCAAATCACTCCGGTTGGTGGTGATTGATGCTGGTTGTTGTTGTTGTTGTTGCTGTTGGTGCGTGGTTGGTTAGTTGGTTATCTTCCTCACCTCCGTCTTCTCTATGTTCACCCGGAGTCATGTCTTCTCTGCTAAGCTCTTCATCCAGTTTGTTGGTTTTCATCTGCCTGCAAGTCTTCGAGTTTGTGTGCCATTAGACATATATGGTGTGCGAAATCCTGATTTCTTTTGCCTGTTGATTATTTTGGACGCCTTCAGACTGTCCAATACTATCAAACTGATGCAGTGCAATCTCACTGTTTAGTGTTTATAAGCCTTGTAGTCTCAGATTTGATAGTATGTATTCAGGAATCCCGACAATGATCCCTCTCTTTGTTCCTCTAAAGCATGCGCTCTAACACGTACATGTAAGCTGTTGGATACAGTTAGAGGTAACATGAAATACGGATTCGCCCGCTTTTGATTATCTTAAACTGCAGTTCGTTTTTGATATAAACCTATAAGCTGTTTGGGGTTTGATATGCTCTTTCCATGGCAGCAATCAGTCAAAACCTTATTCATTTAGCAGTGTAATCACCCTTGAAGCCAAGATTTAAAAAGATAACCTTTTTTCCTTCACCCTGCTGTTGAAAAAACAGTCTTGCTGCATAAGTTACTCTTCTCTCGTTCCAAATTTATCTAATCCTGCATGGTGGAGCAATAAAAAGCGCGATCATTGAACATCTGGTCCATAATGATCACCCAATGAATCTCTACAGCGTCTGCCTTTAAACTCATCTACAAGGCGAAAAGTAATTTACACAAATCACTACGTATGCGACTGATGTGTTGTCTTGCTAACGCTTTGGCTATCAAAACAGAAAAGCCAGATCTCTGTATGCAGAAAAAGTTCATTCAACACCTCCAACTTTCATGCTCTTAATCCCTCTATACTAAAGTATGGTAGTCCCTAATTATATTTTGTTCATTTTTTTAATTCAATTTGTATACTCTTCCTTTATTACGTCAATTGTTACTATTATTTATTCTCACTTTGAACTGTCCCTGATATTATTTCACTCGTTCCACTTGTCATTCTAAATTAATTCTGTTTTGCAACGTTAAATTTTATGTTTTTAAATTTCACACATTGTTACGTAACGTAATTGGACACACATTCTAAGTTCTCTACATCCTATGAATTATTCTATATATGACATTAATTGTTTTGCCACTTGACATTGAACTATGATTATAATCACAAACATATTTTAATTGCATTTCATACTATTATTATTATTATTATTTTATGCATTCACACCTATGATTCAATTCCCTCACTGGATATAACTTCTTAAAAACCATATATATGTGCGATTGTACAGCGTGATAATAAATTTCGATAGAGAAAGAAAGACCAGATTTGCACTGTAAAATGATATCATCATTCTATTTCACAGGTTCTCATCAGCTGTACACCACTACCTGAAATTACAATGGTTATATAAAGATGATAATAACATACTTTAATTTTTTTAAGGGGTAGTAGAGAAGAAATACCAAAAAATTGACGCATACAAATTGTAAGCAGAATTACAATTTTTTCAGTTTAAGTTTTCATCGTCAATTTGTACACTTTCAAAGTAGAAAAGAGAGGTAGGGAGGACTAATACAGAAAACAGAAAAAAATTAACAGAACAGTGTTAGCTTGTAGGTTCTCATAGCAACTCAAAACACAAAAGCGGTTACAGTTTATAAGATTGAGATATATTCAGTGATGAGTTGAGATCACTGAATTAGATGACTAATTAATGTTATCAATATCAACATTTAGTTACCAAGGGAGTGAGAGGTTAATCACACTCTCTTTCTGTATGCATAAGTCTGGTTTGATCGATACTGGACATCGCATCGATATCAACACAGCTTTCAGGATTATATACCGAATTCCGAAGTCGTTATCACGTACAGTTCGCTTACGTCTTCTACACATAGCTGAAGCTGTTGCAATAAGATCGACTAAACCGGAACTTTGTATCCAAAAAGAACATGTCCAGACGCTGTTCCTACCGTGGCCAAACTTGGATTGATGATTCTTCTTCTCACCGAGAGTGCTCCTTCCCCTTAACCCCCTTGGTTTCTTTTCTCCTTTGCTTATTATTACAAATATTATTATTATTACAATTATTATTAATATTATTATTCTTCATAATTTATGTCCTTCATGCAAACATTCCCTCAATACTATCGAATTTTTCATTTATACTCTCCGGACTTATTATTAGTGATATTATCTCTTTTCTCAATATATGCCTCCACCTGTTTCATTTCACACATTCGTTATTTCATTATGAAGCTCTCATAACAGTCTTACTATCTCCTGCTTAATACAGACCACTTTGTACTAGCCATTCCACTAATCTGACACTTTTTATAACCTTGAACTGGCTTGTCAATTTTCCTATCCCACACTCTACGAATCTATTATGACGAGTAATCACCACGACAATGTGTCCTATTTCACCGAAATATTTTGTAATCGATTTCAGCCCAGAGCACGTTTGTCACACAAATACTACTACTTATTTTAAGACCCCATAACCAATCTGTTATTCTACGTTAGGAAATGTATCTGCCGCATAACTGGCCATTATTGTAACGACAACAAATATTATATTTTATAATTGTAAGAACCTGAAGAGAGAAGGATATATTGAAAAGAACATTCTTCGTTCAGAATGACTTTTAATTCATAATATTGGAATATTTCACACTACTAAATCATATGCATAATAAATTCGTTGTTGAATAGAGTCTTTTCTCTGAATCACTTGTTTTGATTTTTTATAATGTGACATTGGGAATTTTCCTTGGATTATCTTTTGTTGTGAATTGGTTACGTCATATAATTTCATGAAATATATATATATATATGCGTATCACCTTTCATTTTCTTTCTTCCTTTCTACTACATATGTTACAGGTTCTAGCCACTGGTTTAAGTGGTCTTTATTCTAGTTTACCAAAAAAACTGGTACCACGTTATTCAATGAGTTCACAAAGTAATTATGACTAAAATAACAATAATAGTACAAATTACGCTTACAATAACAATGGTACTGTCTTTGAATCTCCTGGTGGTCCTGTCTCTGTCACTACACCAGTTTTTATCCAATCAGATTTACGATATCCGTGTCTTTTAGAATTACAAGTTGGCGGTGCTGAATGGCATCAATTGACAGAGAAGGAGAGTAATCATTCAATCGACCTGAGACGGTTTTTGCATACGCTGGACTTTTGTAATCTTACAGTTAAAGTAAGTAAGCTAGCTAGCTAGCACGGTTTGTTTTTCTCATTGTCGTTTTTCTTGTTGTTGTTGTCGTGTTTTTTCCCTTTGTACGTAGGTTGAGAAGCTTTCATTGTTTTTCTGAACAAGATTGTTTTTTTTAATGCTAGCTTCATGGTATGGTAAGGTTTTTTTTTACATTCTCTATCAATGAAAGTCACCGGGTTCGAATCCCAGTTGGTGCGTACTGCTGAAGACTCCCAAACTAGGACGAAACAGCTGTCCAGTACTCCCAGGTTTTCCAATGGTTCTCTAACTAATGTCACCTCATGATGAAACCCTGTAACCAATCAACCAAATCCCTACAAACCAACACTTGAAAGTTACTTTTTCTGCGTTCTGTGACTATGATTACTTACCGCTGCAGAATTAGCAAGTCATTGTGTCCACTATGTACTGTGGTGTTAGTTGGTTGTCTTCTCGACTTGATAGCTGACTTTACAATTACGTGATTTGTGCTGAATTAATCAATGAACCTGATCTACATCACTCTGTCTGTCTGTCTGTTAGGTGTAACTTATTTCGAGAACCACCAACCTTCGAGGTCTTCAGTCTCCGACAGAACCTAGAACATAGACACACTTTTAGGCGTCCAACAATTGCCATAGTTCTTGACTTGAAGGCGGCCTTCGACTCCGTGGACCGAAAAGTACTATGGCAATGTTCAACTGTGAACGGAGTGCCAAGAAAGTAAGTACATTGCACTAATCAAGGCACTCTACTCAAACTCACGTAGCTGTGTAAGGGCTTATGGGGAATTGTCATCTGAATTGATAACAACCAGTGGTGTCCGTCAAAGATGTCCACTTTCCCCTTTTCTGTTTAACTTCATCATACATATGCTAATGGAAGTATCCTTAATTGAACTTAACGACTTAGGAATCGACTTGTTACCAGGGAATAGTCTTATGGACTTAGAATATAGCAGATGACATTGTCCTGTTAGGGGAGGATGCTGACAAAATGCAGAGTCTTCTGAGCAGCAATCTTCGTATGTTTGGCATGCGATTCGCCCCTGTAAAATGTAACATGCTGCTACAGGACTGGACTACGTATACCCCTAGCTTAATGATAGGGAGTGAAGTGATAGAACATGTTGACCACTTCACCTATTTGGGAATTTGTATCAGCACCAACGGACTGATTGATTGGCGACGAAATCTCAGCACGGATCTAAAAAGCTCGAGCTGCCTTCACTAACTTACACCATCTCTGGCGTAGGCGTGACATCCGACTGTCAACCAAGGGACGTGTGTACTGCTTAGCAGTTCGCTCCGTCCTTCTCTATGGCTCTGAAACATGGTCAATACGAGTTGAAGACATCAAAATATTGACTGTTTTTGATCATGGATGCCTACGATCTCTTTCTCACGTTAGGTGGCATAATAAGGTAAGTAATGTTGACGTTAGGCGTAGAGTGTTGGGCAAAGAGGGAAAATCAATCGAAGAGGCTATAAAGTTACATAGATTGAGATGGCTAGGGGTCACGTGCTGCGCATGCCTAACCATCGCCTCCCCCGACGGACGGGCATTTCTAGCTGATATAAGTGCAGTTTGGAAAAGAGTAAGTGGTGGCCAAACAAAAACATGACCTCATCAATCCATGAAATCCCTGACAGTTAAACTGAGTCAGGTAGGGAGAAAGATGCAGACTTCCGGGTT